TGGTTCAGGCTGGGAGAGGAAACCAGAAGAGTTCAAAGGCAGAGGGATTAGCAGAGGGCTAGGCAGCAGCAGGGCTAGGCTTCTGACTAGCTGAGATTCGATCCTGGGGTTGCTCTAAGTTCTCTTCCAGAGAACAAGCGGGCAGATCCAGACTGCAGAACTCCTAGCTGACATTTGTTCCTAGGGTTGCTCTAAGTTCTCTTGAAGGGAACAGGCAGGCAGATCCAGACTGCAGGACTCCTGGTTGGCTACCAAGAGCAGGAAGACAGGTCTTTGATGATGAGCTCATCCAGAGCTCCTGAGATACGGCAGGCAGATATCAGCAAGAGGGACTTCTCCACAGTCCCAGGGTTCAGTCAGGTTTCTTCCTAGAAGCAGAGAAGACAAAACTGATCAGGTGCTGGATCTGGTTTCAGTGGAGTCAGAGGATAAGACAGGCTGGTTGGCTCAGGGTTGCTGTACCATGATTTACAAAAACACTCTGGCGTCGGGGTGTTGTCCACAGCCCACATAAGTACTGGTCCCCAGATGAGCAGATGAGAATCAGCTGGTGAAGGCAGCTCCAGGTTCAGGAGATCCAGTACGCCCTCTGGTGGAGGAAAGTAGACAGCACCCCAGATCCCAACAGAAAAACATACAAACAGGAAGGGATCCCTGGCGCCCTCTGGAGGGCAAGCCTCTGGATCCCAACAGAGCCCCCCTCTCAAGGGCGGATTCCAGACGCCCTCAGAACAGTCCATGAAGAACGACCAACAAAAGGCAACCCACCCAGGGCGGGCGGAGGGGGCACCAGGCAAGGAGGGCAAGAAACAACAAAAACAGAGTCTAAAACAAAAAACAACCCACCCAGAGTGGGCGGAGGGGGAAACAGGTAAGGAGGGCAAAAAAACAAAAACTGAGTCCAGAACAGAAAACAATCCACTTAAGGTGGACGACAGCGACGAAAGTCTCTGATGATTCATAAGACAGAGTCTCGGGTGGCTGGCTGTGGGACCGGCAGTGAGGCAGAGTCTCAGGTGGCCGGCCATGGGGCCAAAGGTGTGGCCGACGTTCCGGGGGCCGGCTGCGGGGCCGGAGACATGGCAGAAGTTCTGGAGGCCGGAGGCATGGCAGAGGTTCTGGGGGCTGGCCGCGGGGCCGAAGGCGAGGCAGAGTCTTAGGAGGATGACCTCTCCGTCGATGCTGAATCCTTGGAGGAGGACGACGCCCCAATTTCAATAGGTAGCCCCAAGGGGAAGCCCGTCCCCCTTCAGCGGCTCAACAACAATTTCAGAGGGGACCGCGGACTGCGGCTCTGGAACAGGGTCCGAGGAGGCCGCCGACTGCGGCTCAGGAGCTGGAGCAGGAGGGGTGCCGACTGCGGCTCAGGAACAGGCTCTGAGGTGGCCGCCGACTGTGGCTCAGGAACAGCCTCTGAGGTGGCCGCCGACTGTGGCTCAGGAACAGGAACATAGAAGACCGCCGACTGCGGCTCTGGAACAGGAACATAGCAGACCGCCGACTGCGGCTCCTGGACAGGAACATAGAAGACCGCCGACTGCGGCTCCTGGACAGGAACAGACGAGATCGCCGACTGCGGCTCCGGATCAGGAACAGACGAGACCACCGACTGTGGCTCCGAATCAGGAACAGACGAGATCGCCGACTGCAGCTCCGGATCAGGAATAGACGAGACCGCCGACTGCGGCTCTGGATCAGGAATAGACGAGACCGCCGACTGCGGCTCCGGGTCAGGAACAGAGGAGCCCGCCGACTGTGGCTCCGGGTCAGGAACAGAGGAGCCCGCCGATTGCGGCTCCAGGTCAGGAACAGGGGAGCCCGCCGATTGCGGCTCCAGGTCAGGAACAGAGGAGCCCGCCGATTGCGGCTCCGGGTCAGGAACAGAGGAGCCCGCCGATTGCGGCTCCGGGTCAGGAACAGAGGAGTCCACCGACTGTGGCTCCA